GGCAGGGGTCCTCAAACATTTTAAACAGAGGGCCAGGTCACAGTCCCTCAAACTGTTGGAGGGCCAGATTATAATTTGAAAAAAGCATGAATGAATTCCTATGCACAGTGCACATATCTTATTTGTAGTGCCAAAAACACTTAAAACAATACAATAATTAAAATGAAGAACAATTTTGACTAATATAAACTTATTAGTATTTCAGTGGGAAGTGTGGGCCTGCTTTTGGCTGATGAGATAGGATTGTTGTTGTTGTTGTGTGCTTTCAAGTCATTTCAGACTTAGTTTGACCCTGAGCGAAGGCCGAGTAAATGACCTTGGAGGGCCGTATCCGGCCCTCAGGCCTTAGTTTGAGGACCCCTGTTCTAGGACTTTAAAGATCATAAACAGCCACTTTGATTTGTGCCCATTGGACTGGCAGCTATTGGAGCTGCGGCAACAGGGGAGTTGTCCGCTCCCTGTAGCCAGCTCCAGTTAGCAACCTGGCTGGCATAACAATGGCATACTCAAAACACAGTATACGTACTTAAATTTAGTGAGGTACACTGCTGTGACCTAATATGATCCCAGTACAAGTTCCATGCCTCTTCTTCAGAGGACAAGAAAGATGGACTCTCTTGTGTGCCTGCCAAGACTTTATGCCAAGAAGCTGCAATCACCATGTCATCAGAATGTACCATCATAGACTGGGGAACTGAGTAATGTTTCTCTTTAGGACCATAACTCCTGTATCATCGGAACTCCGGATATATCATATCAGCACCACAAATCTATGCCAGTATTAGAGATATATACAAGATCCAGACTTTTAATAAGACAGTGTCACAAAGCCAATGTTCAAAGGGGGCAAAGCTAAGTGCCTGCTAAATCCAGCAATACGGTTGAGAGGTTTACAACGTGGCAATGATTTACTACTGGACAGGGTGATCGCTGAGATCGGAGCTGCTGTGCTACAAATTTAGCTAGTGAGAGTCAGCATTTGCTTGAAGAGTCTCTGCCCTTAGACTGCACACCCCTCCAGCTTTTAATAGATTCACTTAGTCATTTGTTTGCTGGATCCTTTGTCTATGGGTACAAGGAGTACCAGGGTCAGATTTTGATGGTCTGTCCATTTCTCAGTTGAGTGGTAACAATGACAGCCTCATAGGAAATAATCTAAAACTCTTCAGTGTAATTGCTGAAGTGCTTTGGTGGTAGTGTGTCTTCCCTCATGGAGTCAAAAACAGATGCTTACCTCCTATGGTGCTGTTATCACTATATGAATGAAATTTGCATAATGTGATGAGAAAGGAAAGTAAAGTTATAGTGGTTTATTTTAGTTCTGGAAAGCACCACAATGTTGTTGTCCCAATTTACAGATTGAATTGTGTAAAAAAGTTAACACCTGTAGTGTCATGTAATTGTTATGTTGTTGTGTTATGTGCCTTTAAGTCATTTCCATTCTATGGTCACCCTACAGCTAACTTATCACAGGGTTTCCTTTGCAAGATTTGTTCAGAAATTTGTCATAGCTTTCCTCTGGGCTGAGAGAGCCCAACTTATCTTAGGTAAGTTTTGTTGCTGAGCATGGATTCAAACCCAGTCTCCAGAGCTGTAGTGGTAGTGCTCAAACCACTACCATAATGTTGATTTTGTACTGGATTAGTATCTTGAACTTCTAGAAATGTAGAAAACTGTCGTATGGCAGCAAAGACAAGACTGTTCCAGTGTAGGTATTATCTACACTACACAAAGACTGTGTAGTTTCACGTGGTAGCAAATATTTTCAAAACAAAAAGAATCACCACAGAAACAGTGGGATTGCTTCTCAGTATGGGTGGTAAAATGCTAACATCACAACAAGAGGCAGAACTGCTCAATTGCTATTTTGCTTTGTTTTTTTCATGCATAGGCAGAGACATTGGCGAGAAATCTGAATTGTAAATCAAGATAGCTAAAGAGATAATCAGGAATCACCTAATTAACTTAAAATGAGTTCATATCTGCAGGACCAGATGAACAACATCACCGATTTCTTAACTTACTGACAATTGTCTCTGAACTATTTGTCATCATTTTTGAGAAATCTTTGAGAATGGGTAAAGTGCCAAAGGATTGTAAAAAACCAACATTGTTCTTCTCTTCCAAAAAAGAGCAAATAAAAGAAAGCTTCAGAGAGCTATAAGAGAACAGATTATACAATATTCCATCTACAAATATCTTGGTAACAATGGAGTAACTAGTGAGAACGTGCATGGATTTGTCAAGAACAAATAATCACAAATGAACGATGGTGGGAATGCTGTGGATATCATTTACCTGAATTTCAGCAAAGCATTTGGCAAGGTCCTCCATTATATTTTGACTAACAAACTGAATACATATGGAATAGATGGATACACTGCTAGATAGATCCATATTTGGTTGAAAAACTATTCTTAAATTGTTGTCACCATAACTTTATACTCAAAGACGATCTCAATTGGAGAACCTTGGGATTTTTGTTGATTGTAAGATGTAATATGTGTGATGCTGCAGCAAATAAGGTAATAGTTTCCAAATAATAGTCCCACAATATTCAGTGCTGCTCAATCTTCATCTTGAGTATGAAATTCAACTCTGGGCACTTCATTTTATGAAAGACAAATTGGAGCTGGTTCGGGGAATGACAACAAAGATGACAAGAGGTATGGAGAACAAACATATAATAGAGTTTAAAGGAGCTGGGCATGTTAGTTGGTTATGGGAAGACTGAGGGGTGATGTGATCACACTCTTGAAATATCTCAAGGGCTGCCATGAAGAAGGAGAGTACTTGCTTCTTCTCTGCTGCTTGACAGGTCTAATGGTTTTAAGTAATAGGAAGGGAGGTTTTGATTGAACATTAGGAGGAACTACCTGACAATGAGAACAGTTGGAAAGTGAAACCAATTGTCTAGAAAGGTGGTGGGACCTCTTTCTTAGGATGTCTTCAAAAAGAGGGTGGGCAGCTACGTGCAGGAGATGCTTTTAGCTGGAGAGCATGTGTTTATCAGTGTGTTGGACCCAATATCTCATGGTATCTCTTTCCAAGTCCATGATTCTACTCTGACTGGCAGTGGTTCTCTGGCACCTCACTATTCAGAGGCATTTTTCTTCACCTACATCCTCTCCCCCCCCCCAAAAAAAACCCCACATACACACACACACAAACATGTGGGATTGCATGTAGGATATTTTGCATCCAAACAATTTGTTCTTCCACTAAACCATGGCCACCATGCCACCACCATGTATTCTTCTCATATTATTCCAATGGATGTGTGCTCTTGATCTTGCAAAAGGTTTGGCTTCGTCCTATGACTCCTAGTGTGTTTATTCTTTTCTCATGGGATCCTCCACCAGATAATGGCTGTTCATCAAACTAGTTTACTGAATGGGCCAAAAGTAGACCTAACTTAGGATAACTTACATAAAAGGGAAAATTGAATGCTCTCTGACTGATATCTCTAAAAATCAATTTAGTTCATGAAAAAGGGTCTGCCATTGTTTGAATTACCAAATATATGTTTACCAGTTATAAGATAACTGTTGCTCATAATATTTTAAAATAATGAAATAACACCAAGGCAAATATTTTAGTATTTCTGATGAATTTCTGATTTTCAAAGCAAACATAGTTTTTACAACAGCTGCCTCCACTCACTCCCTCTCATTTTCATAGTGTAATTCAAATGTTCTTGTAGGTAAGCATTCAAAAGCACATGGCAGCAAAAAGAGAATGAAAGTCGTAAAAGCTTGTCATATGATTGTCATGTAGGGCTTAATTGATAGAGCAGCTGCATGCACAATGTTTAAGTATTACGGGAACAGAGCTCTTTTGAGGCTTTAAACCTTCTTTTTTGGCTGTAGTTACTAGCTCACAAGAAAGCTTGGTACACCATATCTAAGCATTCTTTATGCTTAAATAGTTCTAGTCCTCTCCACCACAGTTATATGCTTTCCTAAATAATGCCATGGTCATATATTTTATTATTTCTTGTTTATATAGTCAAGCCAATTCTATAACCCAGTGATTTTGTTGTTCATGTTGTTGTAATTCATTTTTCTAGCATTTTAAATGGTTTAGGAAGAAGGGACCTGCAAACAGACAGAAAAACAAAACCTGCACTGTCATGTCAGGCTCTTCCTTTTGCTTTCTTGGAAGTTTAGGACAGTTGTTTTCTTTGTACAGGGAAATCGTCATTCTGTTTTAAAATCTGTGTTTGGAACTTCTTCTGCTAGATGATGACTGAGGACAATTTTGCACCCCCAAAACATTGTGCTATCTTCTGCACCCATAATAAAAGGTTATGAAGGCCTCTCCAGTTGTTCCCTCCATGCTTAGCACTGCTTTTTTTTCCAACGTGGAACATAGTTTGGAGGGAAATGGGGATGAATGCTATTTTCAGATTGCCAGTGACCATGTTGGCAGAGGATTCTGGGAGGAGTATAATGTCTAGATACAGGGAAGTCACCAATTCTGTCTTGGTGAGACCACACCTGGCATACTGTGTCCAGTTCTGGGCACTGCAATTTAAGAAAGATTTGACAAGCTGAAATGTGTTCAGAGGAGAGTGACTAAAATGATCAAGGGTCTGAAGAACAAGCCCTATAAAGAGTGGCTTACAGAACTAGGCATGTTTAACTTGAAGAAGAGAAGACTGAGAGGGGATATGATGGCTATGTGTAAATATGTGAGGGGAACAGGCTTGTTTGAACAATAGCTTCAAATTCAAACACAATTGGCTAACACTAAATTACTTAACATTTAAATGTTAGAGATATTTTGATGAGGTAAATAGATTTCTTTATTGATAGATTGAAAGCTTAAAGATGGATTGAAGGTAGGTATTTTAAATTTTTGAGCCAGCTTATAAATGGTTTTACCCACAAAACCATAAAAATATACAATGTGTGTGTGTTACGTGGAAGAGAGACAGAATGAAAGTGAGACACTTCCTATGGAGTATTTACGTACCTGTTTTGTTGTTTGTTTTCCAGGCAGTAAATCTGGTGTATTAATAGTAAAGATCTTAGAAATGCATGAAGAATGCAGTCTCTGCATTGCACTCTGCCATATGTTGGGACAGTATACTTCTGAGACCTCTCCCACTGAAGAAATTGCTGACATTCAGCCTAAGCTTAAAGTTCTCTTTGCAAAAGAAACACGAGCTCATCTCAAGGCAGCTCCGAATGATGTTATACATATTCATCCCCCTTGGTAAGTACAAATAAGGTCAGCTCATTATAGTTTTTAAACTAGGTTGTTGTTGTTGTTCATTCATTCAATCGCTTCCGACTCTTCGTGACCTCATGGACCAGCCCACGCCAGAGCTCCCTGTCTGCTGTCACCACCCCCAACTCCTTCAAGGCCAAGCCAGTCACTTCAAGGATACCATCCATCCATCTTGCTCTTGGTCATCCCCTCTTCCTTTTTCCTTCCATTTTCCCCGGCATCATTGTCTTCTTCAGGCTTTCCTGTCTTCTCATTATGTGTCCAAAATACTTCATCTTTTTCTCTAAAATCCTTCCCTCCAATGAACAGTTGGGCTTTATTTCCTGAAGTATGGACTGGTTGGATCTTCTCGTGGTCCAAGGCACTTTCAGAACTTTCCTCCAACACCACAGTTCAAAAGCATCTATCTTCCTCAGCCTTCCGTATGGTCCAGCTCTCACATCCGTAGGTTACTACAGGGAATACCATTGCTTTAACTATGCGGATCTTTGATGCCAGTGTGATGTCTCTACTCTTCACTAGGTGGTAATTATTAAAGCAGGGATGAGCCAAGTGTGGCTTTTAGGCTATATATGCTTCCCATGACTACTGTTTTGTAGTCATGGGAAGCAGGAGTTCCAGGAGCCAGTTTTCTCCTTAATGGTCTTGTTGGGTCCAAAATGGCTGTGAGCAGGAAACATAGAGTGTGTTTGGGTGCAGGAAAATAAATTTCCCAATGAGGCTGCATGGCAAGGGAGTTGGATGAATGGCCCTAGTGGTTTCTTCCAACTCTATGATTAAGTGACTGCAGTGGTGGGAGTGTCATATCATCGATGATCCCTTGTGGCTGAGTATAATTGTCTTCCAAGAGTAGTGTCTTGGTGGTAGAGCCATAAATAACTGTGGGGACTTATTCTTGATCCTCATGATCTTTCACAATGAGGACCTAGATTTCCAGATGGAAGGAAATCACAACAAGGATTTGCCTGATGCGCCTTCCTCTTTGCATGCTTCTCCCTTTCACCCTCTATTTGTACATCTTCAAAATTGATAGTATCATTGGTAATCGCTGACTTCTAGTTACAACACTCGAGTACCAGGGCTTGCCAGTTCCCTGTGTTTATTCCACATTTTATAGTTAGTTTTAAGACCATATTTATTTATTTTTTACTGTTTACCAACATTCTGTTTTCCATTCCTATGTTGAGAATAAAATAACTGCATGGGAATGTAGCCCCTCGGGATTAACGCTGCTCCCAAGTCTATCATAGTTGCTCACCTTAGCTTAAAGTATAGTTACCCTGGAACTCATTCTCATGTCCTATATTTTAAAGATCTATTTCACTTGATTGGGATATATTTTCTTGGTATAAATAACAATTTGACCATTAAAACCGTTTTATTTAAAGGAATGGCAGATAATGAAATGAGACTTAAATGTGGAACTGCTTCAGTGTGAAGATGAAGGTCTTGCTAGTGGTGAACAAGAACTTTTAACATTGTATATTTCAGATATCTCTTTAGTCATCTCATTGTAGATGAAGTACAGTAGAGTCTCGCTTATCCAGCCTTCTATCATTCAACATTCTGTATTATCCAACGCAGTCTGGCTCCCGCCCGGATCCATAGCTGTTTCAATACATTGCAATGTTTTGGTACTAAATTTGTAAATACAGTAATTACTGCATAGCATTACCTTGTATTGAACTGCTTTTTCTGTTGATTTGTTGTAAAACATGATTTGGTGCTTAATTTGTAAAATCATAACGTAATTTGACGTTGAATAGGTTTTTCCATAATCCCTCCTTATTATCCAACATTTTCGCTTATCCAATGTTCTGCCGACCTGTTTATGTTGGATAAGCGAGACTCTACTTTACAGTATATTCTATTGTGTTATCTACCTTTTTAAGAGAACTTGGTTAATGGAGAGGGTTAAACATGAAACAAATAAATTCAGAAAAAATTTCTTCAACCCCTCTGGAAGATGCAGAGCTTTAGTTCTTCTATTTATCAAATTGCTAAGGGCAGGCTCCCAAGATCATTGTCTCATCTGTCAGAACATGGCCAGCAGAGGATATTGTTCCTGCAGAACCCTTTGATATAATGTATGCATTTAAAAACATATAGATATTCAAGCAGACAATGAGGAGGAAAAAATAAACAGATAAATCCCTACCATCAAAAAGAGAGTAAGTCCTCTTTTGCATTCCTCCTTTGAAGTTTTTGCAAAAGCAGAAAGAGTTGAGCTCTGATAAGGTAAAGACTCTTAGCTACCCTACAATAAAATTCAACAAAATTCAAAGTCACTGGATACAAGAGCACAGATGGAAGAAAGATGTAATAGTACAATCTGTAGCTGATTACTGCTTCAAAGATCTTTAGAGTCTGAGATTCTAAATTATCCTAAATTAGTAGTAGTAGAAGAAACAGCAACTTTGGACACATTCAGCTGACCACTTAATAGGGATTGAAGGTATTTTGAAGATGTGGTATTTAAATGCTGTACAGTGTGAATACAGGAGTGCTAATTGGAGGCCTTAAAATTGATTTTTTAAAAGTAGAGATACTCCGAAATAAGAGCCATAATGCACATCAGCATGCATAGGTGTAAAACTGCATTGCATGGCAAAACTGATTAAGGAAGAGGTGTACTGGAGATCTGCATCATACATTGCAAAAGGGAAGAAGTTCAGTTGGGTGGTTGGGGTGGGGGAGGTTGTGTGTGTACAAATTTTCTATCACAGTGAATTTTCAGATCCAGATCAATGCTGACTTCTCCAGTGCATAAGCACCACCCAGACCTCGATCCAGTGATAGGGCTTTCCATGTGATCAGGTACATGTCCAATTTGCTTCCAGCTCTGCTGCTTTTGTACCATGTTATTTGGTCAGTGTAGATTTGCCCTTGGTTACTTTGACCTGATTCCAGTCATTCATCTCAAAATAGGATGGACTCATTGACTCCATCCAAACTTTGTAAGTTAATACTTATATAGATTCCATTAAAACAGTGGATTCACTCTAATTTGAACTAAGATTGAGTTTTAGACTCTTATACCCAATATCATAATTCACAATACCGTTTTTAGATATTAAAGCCTACTACATAAATCAGTTTCTTAAATATGTTTGCTGGGCTTCAAGAATTAGCCAGCTCTTACAGTTAAATTAATCTTTTGTCACACTATTCCATATTAAGGGTATGACTTGTCGACTTGTGGCAATCATATTGCAATCATATGAATTATATTGGATTTTCTTAGACAAGGAATACTCAGAGATGTTTTGGCCAATTCTTTCATCTGAAATAGAACCTATAGCACCTGGTATTGATTTATTGATCAACTCCATGAAATTTAAATTTGCAGATGTAGAGGGTTAGCTATACTAAATGTTTCTGAAGTACAGTATCAGTACCTTCAGTTTACTTTTACCCATTATTTAGATCCCCCCCCCAAATCTAACCATTATTAGTAGAGAAGTGTGAAGGGGGAGGAATTTATTTTTATCCCCCCCCCTCTACACACACGCATGAACAGAAAAATTATAAAACAAGATAGATATTTACCTCTCTTAAAATGATGCGTCATATCTACCTTTAAAAAAAATGTGGATAAAGCTTTTTGAAGTGGAATGAAAATGATCCAAAGATATATCAAGGAGAATATTATAGACTTGAAGTTTTCCAGCTTTTATAAAAGAGGAAATTCCAAGGATACTGAAGTGACAGGCATAGCTTGCGTTTTGTTGTCTGCTGACGTCAAACAAGAAAAAGCAGACAGTATTGTTAAAGTCAGTAAAAGATGTATAGTAAGGATTTAAGTCCAGGCTAGATACAGAACATTAAGTTAATATATGGCTCTATTTATGACTATTCCCGTATGTGCATAATCTCATGACAAATTCCATATTTTATTTAGGGCCAGAATCTTGATCTATTGAAGATAATAACTGCTCTATGCAGACACGGACGCAAGTGCATTAAAATAATTTCCAATATTTTGGCCAAGAGTAAATGCACAAAGAACTGATTTTTCTTTGCTTAAAACTGATCTGTCCACTACTTGGAACTGTATTTATCTGTTAAAAAAATCACGCTGGACATTCAAATGTAGTCGTATATTGAAACCTGAAAGACCAAAGGTAGATTACATTGGGAAACCCTGGTTGCTGAACTTACTGACTGAAAGGGAGTGGGGTGAGCTCCCGCTATTAGTCCCAGCTTCTGTCATCCTGGCAGTCCAAAAACATTTAAATGTGAGGAGACCAGTAGGTACCGCTTCTGCGGCTAGGTAATGGCACTCTATGTAGTCATGCCAGCCACATGACCTCTACAGACAACGCTGACTCTTCCGCTTAGAAATAGAGATGAGCACCACCCCACAGAGTCAGACATGACTAGACTTTATGTCAAGGGGAAACCTTTACTTTTATATTACAATGAAATTAAAGATAATTCATTATAATGGAGAAATAGATCTCGATATCTCTCAGTTCTTGTGGGTTTTTTCGGGCTATATGGCCATGTTCTAATGCCTCTAGAACATGGCCATATAGCCTGAAAAAACCCACAAGAACTGAGTGATTCCAGCCATGAAAGCCTTCGACAATACAGATCTCGATATAAATGTTTGGTGACATAGAATTTTCTAAAAGACAAAGCTTACTTGTGGAAACAAACAGAATCTTTCAGGAATCAGTTTTAAATCTGTATCACCAGAAATGGATGGTACAGATAAATGAAACAAATCAGTAACAAAAACCTAAATAATACATTGCATGCAATCTTATATTGAATGATGTTAGCAGTAGAACATATGACTAATACAATTTGTTTAAACAATCTAAAAAAATAAACTTAATGCCAGAACTCTATTATAGCATAGTCTTAGAAGTACACATTTGTTTTCATTTAGGTTTCCAAATGTGCTTTTAAATACTTTTTATTGATTTTAACACAAATAATGTAATTCACAACAAAAATATTCATTGAGAAATGAAAAA